TAGCACCTCCTATTTCTCTTGATCCCTCTCCATCTCATATTCTCACTTTCACCGTTACTCTACACCAATCACTGCCGGCTCATGGAACTTCACAGGCCAAACTATCACAAAATCATTTTGAGCTCTCTGTATTCATTATTAGAGTTCTTCCAATATCACAACCTCACTAATCCAACACAATACCCTTTCATGACCATAACTATAAATGCTTCAGATCCCACCATCACTATTTCCTTAGCCTTGTCTTTTAGAAATTCTTCATATCCCAAAATTCCCATCATCCCCTGTGGTGAAGATCTCCTTTTTGGTTAATTGTTGGCTCCCTAGCAATTCCATGGTTAAGGGCTCCACTAGACTCCATCGAGCGGAATACACTCCTTATCAGATCTCTCATTACTTGACCAAAAGAAGATGTAAGTGGTAGTCTTGGAGACGTGATCAATGCAAAATTCTTAAATTGTAACCAAATCGACGAAAATCAGGAGGAGAATGAAGATATATATCCATATGTTTATGAGGACTTTGCCAAGCGCTTTGATCAACCTTCCTCAGCCATCATGGAAGAAACTGAAGAAGTGAATCTTAACACCGTTGACGATCCCAAAATCACCTTTGTTGGGACATCTCTTACCCCATCTAAAAGGGAAGTCATGAATACCAAGATGTCTTCGCCTGGTCCTACTCAAACATGCCAGGACTAGACCCCACTCTAGTCCAGCATCGACTCATACTTAAAGAGGGAGAGTTCGTGTTTGCATTGATTATAGAAAGCTTAATGAAGCATGCCCAAATGATGACTTCCTATTACCATTAATAGATCAACTAGTCGATAGCACTGTTGAGCATGAAATGCTCTCATTCATGGACGGGTACTCTGGTTATAATCAAATAATGTTGACTAAGGAAGATCAAACTAAAACTTCATCACCCAATGGGGCACATATTGTTACAAAGTGATGCCTTTTGGCCTAAAAAATGCCAGGGCAACTTATCAAAGGGATATGACAATTATATTTCACGATATGATATACAAGAATATGGAAGATTATGTAGATGATATCATCATTCGGTCCCGTACTAGAATGGATCATATCTCTTCCCTTCGTCAGATATTTGAATGCCTTTGCAAATTTAAGCTCTGGCTCAACCCACAAAAATGTGCCTTTGGAGTGACTTAGGAAAGCTTCTCAGATTTATTGTAAGCCAAAGAGGCATTGAAGTTGATCCCTCTAAAATCAAGGCGATTGTATATATGCCACCGCCAAGAAATATTCGTGAAATTCGAGGGCTACAAGGGCGTATTGAAGCCATTCACCAATTTATTTCTCAGTTGGCTGCCAAGTGTGAACCCTTCAATCGCCTCTTAAAGGACACCCTTTTTATATGGGATCAGGAATGTCAAAATGCATTCGATCGCATTAAACAATATCTAGAAAATCCCCCCATATTTAGCCCACCAGAATCTAAGAAAACTATATTGTTATACCTCTCAATAATGGACACCTCACTGGGGGGCTATGCTAGCACAACATGATAAGTCAGGAAAGAAAGAGAAGGCTATCTACTACCTAAGCAAGACTTTGGTAAAGTATGAAATTAACTACACGCCTATTGAAAAAACTTGCTTAGCGCTAGTGTGGGCGACCCAAAAACTTCAGCAGTACATGCTCGTCCACCAAGTGAAATTACTCGCCAAATATGGACCCTTTGAAATATCTGCTCGAGAAGCCTGTGACATATAGTAGAGCAGCGTGGTGGTTACTTCTTCAATCTGAATTTGACATCCAAGACGCCACTCAAAAATCAATAAAGGAGCAGCCAATTGCAAACCACTTAGCAAGTCATCCTATTCCTTTGAAAGACCCTTTCATGATGAGTTTCCAGATGAGGATATCTTATGTACCGAACAAGATAAGGACGAAATGGAAGCATACACCCTTTACTTCGATGGAGCAATGAATGAGAATGGTTGTAGGGTGCTCCTGATGGTGTCTTGATTCCTCGAGGTTATAGATTGGAGTTCTCATGCACAAACAACACTGCAGAATATGAGGCATGCATTAATGGTTTAAAATTAATATTGGGCTTCCACATCTTCGAATTAGATGTCATTGGAGACTCTTAGTTAGTAATTAACCAAATAACAGGTGAATGGAGGACAAAGGATGAGAAGTTATTATCCTACCTCCAAGTTGTCGAGAATTAAAGTTATGGTTCAAAAGGATCACTCTCAAATATGCCCAAGGGAAAAGAACCGCCTTGCTGATGCGCTAGCCACCTTGGCTAGTGCGGTTCAATTACCCTATGGTGTAAGCAAGATAGTTCCTTCTTTATTGAATCAATCCTATGTCCTGCTCATGACCTCCAAGATGAATGGGTGGACGATAACAATGATCTCGCCTGTCACAAAAGTTATTGCTTTGACCTTACAAGACCCAGGAGAATCGAGAACTCAATCCCCCGGCAAGATTAAATAGAGAGGGGGTTGTTGCAGAAGTTCAATATGACAATGCACTACCGTGGTATATTGACATTTTTAATTACTTAAATGATGAATCATTTGCTGAATTTGCTGCAGGTAAGGACAAGCAAATCATCAAGCGGATGGCAATTTGGTACACCATTAGGGGTAATACTTTATACAAATTAACCCTCGATGGGGTGATCAAGAGGTGCATCGATGCTACAGAAGCTGTTAAAATTATGACAGAGATGCACACAGGAGTCTGTGGTGCACATGTAAATTCAGAAATGCTAGCTCATCAAATCCTTCGTCAAAGGTATTATTGGCCTACAATGGAAAGAGACCGCTACAATTTTATGAGAAAGTGCCACAAATGCCAAGTTCACTTTGATCTAATCCATGCCCCTTCATCATCATTACATTCAAGTGTTTCGTCGTGGCCCATCTCCTCATGGGCCCTCTATATCATTGGCAAAGTTTTCCCATCTGCAAGCAATGGGCATGCCACTTTATACTTGTCGCCACTTAACACTTCACTAAATGGGCAGAAGCTGTAACATATTCAGTTATCAAAGGGTAACCTGTCGTTTTTTCCTCATCAAGAATATTATTTGCAGGTTTGAAATCCCCCAGTCAATAACCACTAATAATGGCTCCCACTTCAAGAATGAACAAATGCGCAAGCTTTGCAAGAAGTATGGTATTACCCATCATTTTTCATCTCCGTATTACCCTAAAGCAAATGAACAGGCTGAAGCCACCAACAAGTCCCTTATTCGTATAATAAAAAGAACTACAGAAAATGGTAGGGATTGGCATGAGAAGATTCACCATGCTTTATGGGCATACCGGACTTCTTTTCGTACCCCAACTAAAGCGACACCTTATTCTTTAGTGTATGGGCATGAAACAGTCATACCCATCGAAGTGGAGATTCCATCATTTTGTGTATCATTGGAAGAGGAAATCCCTGACCAAGAAAAGAGGGATGTTGGTCTAGCACTCCTTCAATTACTTGATGAAAATCGACTTAAAGCCCTTGAAAATGCACAAAGCTATCAAAGAAGACTAGCTAGGGCATATGAAAAGAAGGTGAAACCTAGGCATTTTAAACTCGGAGACTTGGTCCTATGTAAAATCTTCCCTAGGGCAGCACAAACAAATCTAATGGGGAAATTCAAACTTAATTGGGAAGGTCCATATGCCATTTCGGAGGTCCTTTCTAAGGAGGCATACCATCTCATTAATTCAGAGGGACAGGAATTTGCTGAGCCAATAAATGTGATGCATCTCAAGAAATATTATGTGTGAAGATTAGAACAAAGTTTTGTTGACACAAGGGATTGGGGTGCCATCGACAGTCCAATTGTACCATCTTATTATATTAAATTTTCTTATTTATTTTCAAAAAGAGCTTGAAAGCATTGCTAAGAACTCTGGAACCCTTCAATGGTTAATTGTATAGCTGACTTGAGGAGATGCTGGTTGACCCCTATTTTCTATGTAGAATATTACATATAGTTTTGTGGTCTCTCGACATCTTTCGCATTTTGTATCCTAAGGGGGTTTGAATCAGACAAAAAAAACAAAAGAGAAGATAAAAAAAAAGAAAAAGAAAAGAGAGATAAAAAAAAGGAAAAAAAAAGAGCCATCAAAAAGAAAAAGGGAGATAAAAATAAATAAATAAATTAGTAAGGAGGGGGGATAAAAAAAAAAAATCTTCATGAAGATCTGAAAATTATTAGAATGATTATTGAAGCCCCATTGATGAAGTACTTTTGTACAGCCACAAACTCCAAGTACTTTCGCACCAATGGTAGGGTATCCCAGTTTGATCCTTAAGTTGTATATGCTAAAACCCTCAAGGGACCCAAGCTCCGATGTTACTGGAGTTATTCGGGGATTACACATGCACTTCATCACTCCCACTCATGAGAGTGCCAAATGTTCATCACACACTAACCTTATTCTTTTCCCATTCTCCTAGCCAATTTAAATAGCTGTGGTGTCGGTCAAAAACTAATTGCCTCATGCAAAAGATATTTTAAGTCAACAAGATAGCTGGTGAAAAACATCTTATCAACCTTTTTTTAAAAAAAAAAAGAAAAGAAGGAAGAGACTGGAGATATTTAAAGAAAAAAAGATATTTTTTTTTGTTAAAATATTTTCTTTTCTTTAAAACAAAGACACAATCCAGACTTACAGGGGTGTAAAGCATTTTATCATGCTATTTCCAAGCCAAACGACTTCATGTGTTATCAACATTTCACAATTTACATTTACATATTCTACTATTTTGGTATTTCAGTATTGGACCCTTTTCTATCTTGATAAATATCCTTTCCTTACAAATAAATAAATAGCTCCATTAGACTTGGAATGGCACCTCACTGATCCATGATTAAAAGGGTTTCTACTAAATAACAAGTCAAAAAGGTCTCTGGCCCATGACGAGTTTTCTAAAACCTTGAGATGAGCTGATCCCTGTTCACATACTTTGATTGTATATTTTGATGAGATACATAACACATTCAAATTCGCTAAGGCAATTTATCCAATGACATAAAAAAAAAAAGACTCCCTCCATTGATATGTGTCAAAATGCCTTCCTTACAAGGATCACAGAAAAACCTTACAAGACTATATACAAGAAAGGAGAGCAAAAGCTCCTCCTTTGTAGAAGTCATGGAAACACCCCCACAAGAACATATACAGTGAAAAGTGGCAAGAGAGGAGCTAAGAGAAGAACAATAAATGATGAAAAAAATTGATGAAAAAGATTCATTAATTTCCATCCTCTATATACTACTTTCTCTATCTCTAAATCACTGTTCTCTATCTCTAATCACCGTCCTCTAAAGATTCATTAATTTCCATCCACAATTTATTACCCTATCTCTAAATCCCTGTAAAGGCTATACTTTTAATGCCCTATCACTTACCCATTTACAACTAGTTGAAACCAAATGAAAATACATACTGTTATACTTACTTCTTTGAAGATTCTCAATTCGGATTTCAGAGATTTTATTCGAGCTCTCAACGTCGGAACATTGTGTGTGCTTTCGATCCCATGATCGGCTTAGAAGTAAGTCAAAATGCTATGATGAGAAGTGAGAAGAAGAAGAGGAAGGAGAAGAAGAAGAAGGAAGAAAATCAGTAATATCATCACCCTCGGCACATCTAAGGAATCCTCATGGTGCTGAGTGGCCTACAAAAATGAAATATACACATGCATATGAGTGCATATGCAAAGAAAAAGAATGCATACAGAATACATACGCGTGAGGCACGCAATCACAATTAGTTCTGTAATACCATGGTAGATCGGGCTTCATCAAGTTCCTTAGTAAGGCAGTCAACAGTCTCGACTAATTGACTTCTGTCATTGACCCAATCAGCATGGTCAGGAGCTTCTAAATCATGAGGCGCTTGGTCCTCATGCCACCGCCTTTTTCACGAATAGACTACGGTAGATTGATCTCTTCCACTGGTATCGTAAATGTCGGAAATAGGGTCAGCATTGAGCGTTGTTGAATACTTCAAAAAGAAAAAAGAAGGGAGAAAGAGGAAAGAGTGTTTACCGGTGATCGATTAAGAATGAGAGAATTACTCGGAACCTCGCCACATCCCTCATGGCGCCTCTTAAGGACCTCGATCTCCTCTCTGGCGGAATTCAGATCTCTCAGTGTTGCTTCTAGGCGAGCCTTACTCTCTTGTGAACCCTATCAAATAACCACAACTTGACACATGACTATTCCTAAATCATATAACATAAAAAAACTTAGATTAAAGTTCAAGGAAGCTTACCAAATTAAATAATTCAAGACCTAGCCCTTCATCTGTTTGAGCTCTCTTCATCAGACAATCCAGTAGCACATGAGGATCCCCTTGCAGATAATTATGCACTATTATCTTTGAGTTTGAATCCCATCCAGTTGCTTGCATCCCAAAAAGTCTGGGATTCCCCACTTTTTCCCCTTCTAACCAAGACCTAAAACTAGGTGTCAGTACAACACCTTCAACCCCATCTGCACAAAACTTAGATGCTTGCGCCCATCTATCACGTGCCCTCTGAAGCTCACTTGCATAAAGAAGTCCCCCTTTCATCTTATGAACAGGCCTACGGGGAACAAACGCTGGGGCATCTTGAGTGAGCCCGAATTTCTGTAAGACGTTCAGGATGATAGCCTTGTAGAGAATCGTCTAATATAAGATGATAGCCTTGTAGAGAATCGTCTAATATAAGATGATAGCCTTGTAGAGAATCGTCTAATATAAGATTGACTTGGGCACGCCAATAGACACGTGTTGTCCTCACCAGATTGTTGTCTTCCTCGTCAACATAAGGGTGCCAAGTAAACTAAAAAAAAAAGGGAAACCCAAAGCAGAGAAATTAAAGATCAGATGCCATAATCAAGATAAATGAATTGATAATAAAATAGGAAAGTACAAATGTAGTACTGACCTGCTCCTCGATTAGCTTGTCATATTGGTCCCGATGCACTGTGGAAGTATGTTCGGGCATGTCTCTCTTTGTTCAACCATTCCACCTGGCACCTTGGGGTTAGAGTTCGCTGTTCTCGAGCCTCTGGATCGGGCGACATATGGCTATGTACTCAAAGCTCCATAACTGCAAAAAAGAAGGAATAAAAAAAAACAAATGAAGGAGACAAAATATAGATACATAACCAAAAACTAAGAGAGAAAGGAAAAGGGGAACCTGAAAGAGAAATGTGAGAAAACAAATTAACTACACTTACCATGAGGAACCCCACACACCCTCCGAGATAAGAATGACCTGTAAGAACCCTATTGTCCAGGCACTTATATAAGTGGCTGAGCATCACTGAACCCCAGGAATAACTACCTAGCTGCTCAAGATCCTCAAGGATGTTTAGGTAGTGTAAGTTTATCCTTCCCCCTTGTGTATTGGCAAATAAGGTAGATCCGAAAACCATAAGCAAAAATGCTCAGATGCTAAAATCCTTTTCCTCTTCAAAGTTCGGTCTACCATCGGACTTGTAGACACTCAATAGCTCCTCATACCGAACTTCATGCTTCTTCCCCTAGTTTTTTTCAAAACCTAGTAGCTCCTTGAATTTTCCTAAGGCTGCATTACTGCTTCCAAAATGCACATGCTACCTGTGATCCTTAGATCCAGTATTCTCACTGCATCCTCTAAAGTAGGGGCGGCTTCTTCAATAGGAAACATGAAAGTATGGGTTTCAGGCCTCCACCTCATACATATGTGCTCAATCAGTCTTAGGTCTACTTTTCTAAACCTAGTCCTGCAAAAGAGGTCAAACCCATAACTCTCCAATTGAAGACGTAGTTCTCCCAGATGTTCATAGGTTTGCTGCCACATGGATCGGTTAAAATGGCTCCTTAACCATCACACCACCTGCAAACCCCACCCAAGAAAACCCACAATTTTTAAGTCACTATTATGAAAGAAAAGAGGAGCACAGAGTGCAAAAAACAAAAAACAAAAAAAAAAATCATTAGAAAGTGAAATAACAATAAATGAGGGCAAATGTCTACCTGAAACTCAAGGACACGCTGACGAATATGGCGAGGCTGGTCAAACTACTGCATGCTATCTGTCGCCTCTGATCCTGTCTCTGCACTTGTCTCACCATACTCAAGTGGTCTTCCTTCAATGTTCCTCTCCTCTAAACCTTCAATGTTCCTCTCCTTTACACCTTCAATGTTCCTCTCCTTTACACCTTCAATGTTCCTCTCCTTTACACCTTCAATGTTCCTTTCCTCCAAACCTTCCACGGTTTCGGGCACCAATGAGCCCAAGGAACATTCATCTGTGTCATTGCCTCTAGGACTCAAATACTCAGAATTCGAACTAGACGAATACCCAAAGTCCGATGACATTTAGCCAGGCTAGTGTATTCTGTATGAGTTTTCACCAAAGCCCTTGTTCAAAGTCCACCCTGGAATTCTAAGGTGGAATAGCTCAATATAGGCCACAAGAAAAATAGAGAGACAAGAAAACTTTAAAGCATGGAAGTAATAATGCCCAATCAGTTTTTCAATGCTCTGAATCAGAAATAGAAGACTGAAATTAAGAAAGTTTCAAGAGAAAACTAACAAATTAACCATCACACTTTGAACCCAAACCACCATGTGAATAAGAAAGAAAACTGAAAATTAGCATAATAAAGTAAGATTACACAAGCTACATAAACAAGACAATTAATTTACATTCCATTGGGTCAAGCAAAGATCCTCTTGAATGTCCTAAGGTCCATAAACATATCTTTCCCATTCTCAGGTGACAATGAAGTCCTGGGAGGCCACCCTGAAAGTTTTCCTCGGTAACTGGGTTGATCAACTACAGCAGAATGGCTCTAACCAAAACTTCTGATTGACTTCTCAGACTCTATCTTGAAATCTTTGAGTTCTGAATTTCCCCTGCATCCCTCAATCTTCTGAATTTTTGGAACAGCCATATCAGATCTCTACTGCTGAAATTTTCAACAATATGTGAGTCTTTTTAATAATTCAAAAACATTTTAAATCAAAGGCCAGGAGTTGGTGTGGCCTGCAAGAGTTTCAGTGAAACAATGTCTCGATTTTGCAAGGTTCCTTGGATCATGGTCACCATGCAATACATCTCTACATGTCTAAACAATAGCATCCCACCCAGTTGCATTTATTTCCCATCATTCTACACAAGTATCAACTCGATCTCACTCCATCACTCCATACATCTCTTTACACAGACCTCCAATTGCACCATTTCCAACTTTTTTTATGCTCTCACAATCAATTGCCACCTAATTTTCTAAGGATCCCAAACCTGAGTATTTGAGGAATAACTTGTTGAGTGGGTAAAACATGAGAATTCAAGCCCTATATTCCAATTTAACCTGTTGACATGAAATAAGTAGCTGTGCAAAAAGGAGAGCTTGATCACGGGATGTTTGGGTGGCTTTATTCAACACTACATGGGCCATTTATGGGGATGCTTGGGAGTATTTGCTTGTTGAACATGGGAGTTTCTTCATTTATTTGGGTTGAGAGCCACGAAAGCCACTTAGGGGTAGAGTAGTCAATAGATGTCGAGTAGTTAAGCCCCACGAGTCCAATCACTACTGGCCAATTTTTCTAGGCCAATGTCAATGTGCTTGGAATGAGACTTGAGGAATGTCAACAAAGAGATTTCCCACCAAATGGACAGAGCGAGTAGATGAACATGTGGGTTGCATTTTTTGAGAGTGGAATATTGAGCCCAACAAAACCATCACCGTACTAATTATGACATGTTTTTGTAGCAGAATGGGGTAAAAGTACATCATGTTCCAACTCTGACAATACAGGATCCAACCATTTCAATGACCCACAGGTTGGATTAACAATAAGCAGCCATTGGGAAGCCTTTTTAATTAAATAGAATTCAATAACTCAATTAACAATAACGTAACAGTAGAATGATAACCATGAACCTTAACCAGGACCAGGATAACAATGAGTCTCTCTCTCTTTCTCTCGCATCTGGGAACAAATTAAAAATTTCACATTCTTTACAAATAAAATTTCATTGAATAAATAAGATTTGCAAAGTAAAATCCAGCGGACATGGAAAGTCTAGCAGCAAAAATGACAACGCAGATCACACAGTTATGGAGTGATGGATGACAAGTCCCTATGGATGCTACTCAAGTATAGCAAAAAAAAAAAAGGGAAGAAGAAAACTTGGTTGAGAAAATCCAGCCAACTTCAAAACAATATCTAAGTTTCAATGCTTTTACAGATGTGCAAATCAAACTATCAAACAGATAATATGCATAACGTTGGAAATTCCCAAAAGGCAAACATTAAAAGCCACCAATTAATATATTTGGAGTACATAAACCCAAGGTTCATTCTATTCCAGCCCCAGATAAAATCTAAGCCTTCAGTTTGTTATTGGGTCTGGACAAAGCATTATCACACACAACAATGGGGAACACAAATTTCCAACGTTATGCATGTGCAGGGAAGATGACACATTAATTCTTACACTGTAAGTGGCAACCAACATCGGATTGACATACCTGCACATGTTTGATATTTCATGATTCATAATTAAGGTATTTTATAACAACCTTTTGGGTTAAAGTAATGGCTGAACAAACTTCAAAAGGTTGAATTGGAACCCTTGGCATTACATTGCAGTTTCATCGCCCTAACCACTGAGCCAAGAGCCCTTTTCCCCAAGAAAGTTAACTACCTACTAAAAAAACAAATCAAAGACCAGACATATCGGATCTCTACTGCGGAAAGGAACCCATGCGTCGTAACTGCAGGGATGGTAAAGCCCCAAAGCCATTAACGAGTACAGAAGGGACAAGGAAATCGTACCAAAGGGTTTTGGTGAGAGAGGGGACAAGATTTTGGAGGGAAGAATGAGTTCCCTGTTAGTGAAAAAGATGCCAGGAAAGAATGACGCTTAATGAGAGAGCGAGCGAAGCTCCTTTGATTCTCAAAATTAATTGTAACCGCTCGACCAAAAAAAAATTTAAATCAAGAAAAAATATAATAATAATAAAAGTAATAATAAATTCTTTATTGAATTTCATTCCAATAAGCTGAAACTAACAAAACAAAATACAAAATGAAGAAAAAATCCTTATTATGATTTTAATGAACCAGAATTAACCAAAAATAATAATAACAAAAAAAAGAGAAACTGATTTAATGTCGAAAATTTAAAATAAAAAATATTAAAAAATAAAAATATAATAACTGAAGACTTCAATTGCTCTCATGCAAGACCAATGGATGAAGTCGTTTCGCTCATGGCTCTCTATTGTTTGCCTTCTTCTTTGCCTCGTCCAACAAAGGAGGGTCATCCTCATCATCCAAACCGTCTGATTCGTTCACGAGCTTGTGTAATGCATCACACTCTTTTCTCAATTTTTCTTTTTCACAAATCTCTTGGTCGTATGCTTCTTTCCACTGAGAAGATTCTTTCTTCCAATACCCCACTTAAGTCTCGAGTTTGTGGATGTCCTCCCCGTATCTTTCGAACCTATCAACCAACTCCTTAACCTCGTACTCTTGAGCCATTAGCAAATTTCTACCTTCTGCAGCAATCTTATCTTTAGGAAGTGATTCATAAAATGAAGGGGGCGCTTGCTCCGACCAAAATCTCAACCATGCATCACTGGCAGTAGTCGTACCCTCTGGTCAAGGGTCCAAGGGTGAACAAACGGCTTGAATCCAAAAATATTGAACCATCACTAACTTTGTTGCATTCCCCTCATTGCGTATGGAACGAGTAAAGTGTATAGGGGCGATAGCTCTCACTACATCTTGAGCCTTACCAAATTGATGGTTGTGGATGGTAGGAAACGATTTCTTGTGGCCCAACCAGGAGGAGATTGGACCGTCATTTATGAGCGGGCACTAACATCCATATTACGTGACCCAATTCATCTAACTTCTACCTATAATGGTTAATTGTTGACCTTCCTTTCCCCCCCTGTAATGAGTTGCTAATGGATTTTCTCTTATGAAATGGGTTCTTGGGGGAAGACTAAGGGTCAGAAAATGCATGTACACCCAAATCTGCAGAGACAAAAATATACAATAATAAATATGTAAAATAAATAAATGAATATTAATGAGAAATAAAAAATTTTAAAAGAAAAAAATATAATAATAATAAATAATAAAAAATAAAGAGTAATAATAATAATAAAGGAGGAAGAAGTGAGAAGAACTTTAGTTACCTGTAGAAGAATGACGTACCCTGTGAAGTTAGTTTCCCCACGTTCAACCCTTCATGTCAAACTTGTGAAAAACCCAAGTTTATGGGATTTATTGGGAAATAAAAGTTCCTCAATCAAACAAAAGGCGACTGCAGCAGCATAATTTTCACGATTACTATAATGGGTTTTCAAATGAAATTGTTTACTTTGGGCCTCTAGGTTTACCATTCCCCTATTACTAATAAAGTGTTGCATAGGCAATCCCATAAGTGCGTCAAAATCCTCTTTGTAGTAATGTTTTAACTGAGTAAAAAGGATGGCTCCATTATAACCTAAGCCTAAGATTCTTGTGACCTCTTCAATTAAAATAGTAAATTCACCGGGCCTTAGCCAAAAAGTAGATGTGTAGGGACACCATCTCTCAGATATTGCCTCTATCACATGCCAGTTAATAAAAAATATTAACAAGTGATAAAAGATGTAGCAAACTATATCTCGAAAGTTCCTTACTGTGATATAGGTGTCTTCCACCCACTTCTTCATCTAATCAGCACTAGAACTCCTACAACAAAGTCTAGGAGCTGGCTGCTGCGTAATAAATACAAATATAGCATCAATTAGCATGCTAACCAAACCCTAAAGAAAAAAACCTCAAGAAATAAATTTAATATTTATTAATAAAATTACAACAAAAAATGAAGAGGGATTGGGAGGTTACATGGTCATGGAGAAGAGCATAACCAATATATTTATTTCCCAGAGTCACGAAAGGCGAGGGTACATTAAAAGTCTCCATCTTTGGGATCAAACGACCATTCCTCAAGGGCTATTGAGTTATGGGCTGAAAAAGAGGAAATAAAGTTAAAGAAAGAACCTAAAAAAAAACCCAATTCGGTTTTATAACGTTTTGGTACGGAAATAATGGATGGCGCAACTTGAAGTCACGACTTGAAGTTGTGCCGCAGGTGGGGCACTATTTGAAATAGCGCCCTGAGTTGAATTCAGCACCAAAACTGAGGCGCTATTTGAAATAGCGCCCTAAGTTGAATTCAGCACCGAAACCGGGCGCTATTTTGAATAGCGCTTTATTTAAGGCACAACTCGAACTTGAGCCTAGAAAAATAAAATAGCTCCTCAAGCTTGAAAAATTTTAAAAATTCTATTAATATGATGAAATTTGAATCCCACATAAAAAATTTAATACCGACTTTCTGTCTTCAAGCGGCACATTAGAAGCTTTGACAGGACTCGAGAGTCATCATCCGAGATGGTTTGGTCACCATATAAAAAACACCACTTTCGGTCTTCAAGCACCACATTAGAAGCCTTGATGGGACTTGGAAGTCATCATAAGTTCCGAGATAGTACTTGGTCACCATATAAAAAGCATCACTTTTGGTCTTCAAGTGCCACATTAAAAGTCTTAACGGGACTTAGAGCTCGTCATAAGTCCCAAGATGGTACTTGATCACCATACATTAAGCACCAAAACCAAATTTTCTACTTTCAAAAGCCAAAAGCATATTTTTTATTCTTAGCTGAATTTTGAACTTTTTTTTGTTTATCTTCGAAAGCCTGACATCATTTATCTTTGTCATCAATTAGACTCTACCTAATCAATGACAAAGAGGGGCATATGTAGATACATGACTTCCGAAAATATGTGTTAAGGACATGAATGTCATCTACATCTACGTCGCTTCAATTGACATGTATCCGTACCTTATGGAAATAAGAAGCTATGGTGCCTCTGATACAACACCTCTTTTTTTTTACGGTGTTTTCAGCTTTCATAAATGAGGGTGCTACTTGGAATAGTGCCTCGGGGCACGATTTAAAATAGCGCTCCAAAGTGCTATTTGATATAGCGCCCATTCCTTATAATTTTCAAAAGCACCCAATTTCAGGGCGCTACTTAAAATAGCGCCCCAGGACACGATTCGAAGTCGTGCCTTATTTGCCTCTTACATGATTGTTGATGTACGTGGCATCACCTGAGTAGCTTTTGTTATACGTGTCACACATGTGGGGCTCACACTTTGTATGGAGGCTAATACACCTATTTTAGGGCGCTACTTCAAATAGCGCTCCAGGGCACTACTTCAAATCACACCCTTTAACTGAACAAGGGGTTGGCTTGGATTAGCGTCTCCTCTAGTGAACTAACCGTTGGGATACGTGTCCTCATTTCTACCACTTACATTACACGTATCACACATGTGGGGCCCACATTTTGCATGGAGGCCAACACATCAATTTCAGGGCGCTAGTTCAAATCGCATCTTAATCTTAACCAAATAGGGGCGCGACTTGAATTAGCGTCTCGCCTAGTCAACTAGCTATTGGAACACGTGTCTTCATTTCCACCGCTCACATTATACGTGTCACACATTTGGGGCCCACGTTATTGCATGGCACATCTTTAGGGTGCTATTTGAAGTCATGCATTTTTTTCCTTGGCCGTTTTAACTCGAATTTTCATAGGATACCCCTCCAAGAATCTATAAATAGCCCTACCACAAAAATTTCAAGTTATTTTTTGAAGCTATGTGATTATTATGCTAAATTATTTTGAGAAAAGAGAGAACCTACAAAGCTTGCTTGATTCATGACCAATTTATGTATCTTCCAAAGACATTAAAGAGTTATTAATTTGGGGCTTGTAAAAGGTAACTCGTACTTTGTTGAACAATTTACATTGCTTTGCATGATTTATCTTCAACTCTCTCTTCTCCCTCCAAAGGTCAAATCTACATTGTTATATTGCATTTTTTTAATACTTTTACAATATTTTTTTATGCCAAACATCAATTTTTTTTGCAAAGGATACTTGGAGCTCTTTGTAATGAGTAAGAATCACTGTATAGGTGCTACAAGTATTAGTGCCCTTAAGAATCCATCTTAAGGTTGGTCTAAATTTGTGGTTTTGAGTGATTCCACAATTCCCGCGTAATTTTATTCCGAATTATGATTATTCAAGTTTATTGACTTGCATAAGCATAATTACCTCTTCTAAGGGTGACGATCGCATTTCTAATATTATTTTTATCTCATATTAGTTTGTAGAGTGTCTGATTGGTGCTGAGGTGGCCACGAACCTCTCAGCTCTCAGTCGAGGTGCTTTTGATGTATCATTGTTTTGACTGAAAATCCAAAATAACATTTTTCGAATATTGTGACACACTTCCAGCTATTGGATTTCAATTCCTGAAAGTGATTATAACCTCCTACCAAAAAATAAATGGTCTCATAGTATACAATCCCTACTATAAAAAAGTGGGACTTGAGTAAAATATGAATCATAAGGGACTATTTTTATTTTCTAAAAATAAAACAAGATTTTTCTATAAATTTCATTTTTTTCTCTTTTTTCTTTTTGAGTTGATCAATGGAAGAATAAAATATATTAAATCTAGATATGTTTGCAAACTTTGGGTTTCAAAGATGCTCTCAAGAGTGTTTTTGGGGCTTCATTTACATTATAGAAATGGACAAAATGGATAGTGTTTGCAAGTTCTTGATGTTGATTCTTCCTTTCCGTTGCTTTGTCTCACAGTCTCTCCAGATCTACTCTTCTTCTCTCTCTCTCTGGATCTGCTCTCCCCCCCCTCCCCCTTGTTGTTGTTCCTCCTGACTTACTATTGCTCCCTCTCCCTCTCCCCTCCCCCACTCTCTCTCTCTCTCTAAATATGTTGTCTCTCTCTCTCTGTAGTATAATCACTTTGTTATTGTTTGCCTTCATTGTGGCTACATCATCTCTCAGATTT